ACTTCAAAGTCTCCAATTACCTTTACAACTCAATGATGCTTCTGCTGGGTGACGTTTTGTAGCATGAAGTAGCTGTCATGCTCTTAGGGCTACTTACTAACAGTGGAGTTGAGTTTCCCAAGCTGTGAGTGCATTTTTCCATTGGTAAGCAAAACAAATGGGGGACTAATACTACAGGGATACTGTAACAGTCATGGTTTGTCAGTAAAAGATTTCCAGTCCATGTTTTGCTAGTTATTTATTGAGAGAAAGAAGGATACCCTCCATCTGCTGGTTTACTCCCGAAATGCCCACTATGGCTGAGGCTGGGCCAGGCCCAAACCAGGAGTCAACAAATGAATACTCAGCTCCTGCAAAGATGGCAGGAACCCATGTACCTGAGCCACTGCCTGCTGCCTCCAAGATGCACCTTAACAGGAAGCTGGAATCAGACGTGGAAGTTAAGACTCGAACCCTGGCACTGTGATAGGAATGCAGTCATACCAAGGGGCATCTCAATGACAAGACCAAACGCCCACCCCTCCCAGATACTTTTTGAAACTGTGGAAATGTGTCTTAGTTGGCCTACATCATTTTATCTAAGATATAAACCATGAGTTTTTATCTTAGACACGTGTTCACTGATTTCCTTGGTTTTATTTTCCCAAACCAAGATGAATTTCATTATTCCTAATCTGCATGGTAGCCACCATTATTAACTTTTAAATATGCTGCAAGCATTATTCTAAATAAAATAGATGTATTAATTTATTCTTTGTAAGAGTCCTACATGGCAGATGTTATTATATCCTTCAATTTATATATAAGGAATTGGGGAAGGAGCTTATAGGTTGCATACCTACTCAATATCGAGCCAGTCCTTCTTCCAAAACCATCTGTGAGAACAGTATTTGCACACTCAGAATGGATTGTGGGCATCACATTTCCAGCCATTAAGTACCTTTAAAGGGCTGGTGTCATGGCATGATGGATAAAGTCACTGCCAGCAGTGCCAGCATCCCATATGGGCGCTGGTTGTGTCCCCGCTTCTACAGTTCCAGTCCAGATCCCTTTTAATGGCCTGGGAAAGCAGTGGAAGCAATTGGTCTCCTAGCACCTACATGGGAGACCTGAATGAAGCTCCTTATTCCTGACCTCAGCCTGGCCCAATCCTGGCCATTGTAGCCATTTAGATAGTAAACTAGTGGGTGGAAGATCTCTTCATTTGCCTCTATCTCTCCCTTACCCTCTCTATGTAGAACTCTGACTTTCAAACCAGCAAACAAATACTTCTTTTATATGTAGAAAATTTGATGACACTTTTACTTTAAAAATGATTGTGTTTGTGGCATGATTGATTGAGTCATTTCTATATCTTACTGACATCTTCAGAATTGGAAGCCCTAATATTCACTGAGCTTTCAGAACATTTCGGAAATGTAATCTTAGGAAAGATTAGTACACTTGGGCGTATTGGTGTATCATGGGCACTGTGATCAAAGCCACTGAAATGGTGAGGAACTCAAGCAACTTGAGTCAAACAACCTAGCCTCAAAGGTAGGTTCTTCCTAGGGATTCCAGCTAAATGGGATTCTCAGACCCTTCCTGGTGTGTTTGCTGGGTCCCCAGCATCTCTCTAGGTACTGTGCCTGAGTTCATTTTCACCTATAGAAACAACTGATTTCAAACATTTGGGACTTACAGGAAAATTATATGACTCAGTAATTATGGAGTCTTTGCCTCTTGATTTGCTTCATGCTGACCTTTCTCTTTACAAAAATAGGCTCTTCTGGATATGTGGTTCAAGGCTCAAGGTTAAGCCTCCTTAGTGATTTCAGCACAGGCACAGTCTCTTCTGGGCTTACCTGTACTTCTCCAGCTGCTGTGGCTCGTTCCAAGGCCTCACAATAATGGTAACTTTTAGGAGGAAAGAAATTATATTTTTCAAGAAGGTTGCACAATAAAAACCACATTCTAACATCTCTAAATAACATCTTCGGAAAAAGATATTTGTTTGCATGTTTCTTTTAGAAGAGAGAGAGAATGCATAAGTGCACTCCCATCTCTTGGTTTGCTCCCAAATGCCTGCAGCAGTAGGGGCTAGGCTTTGCTGGACTTTAGCCAAAATTAGAAATTCAATGTGGGTCTTGAACCATCATAGTCTCCCAGGGTCTTCCTCCACAGGAAACCAGGCTCAAGAGCCAGAGGCAGGCACTCCAATGTGGGAGGCAGGTGTCATGACTGGAAGGCCAAACACCCACCCACAAATATTTATTTGTTTTATAGATAATTATTTTTATTTTTGGTGATTTTTACATAGTTGATTAGGGTGCAAAGGGTCAAGGGCTACAGGAAAGTGGGTGAGACCATTATTTCCACATTCTCTGTTTTCCTTCCTGCATCTGGAGGAAGAGGGGTGGTGATAATGGGAGAAGCCTCTCAAACCCCACCATATCCTGGAATGGAGGACAGGCACCTGACACCATCTCAGGGTCCCTGATGTGGGGTAAGCTCTGAGGGTCCTGCTCAAGGGGATTTGATAGTTCAACAGTTCTGAATTACTGTTAATCTTGCCACTCCAAGAACAATGAAATCTCTCCAGAATCTACTGGCTGATGTAGTCCACCTTAGAGTCTCCATTTGCCCAGATATTCACTGCCAATTCTTTGCTGCAGTAGTTGATCAATTTGTTCTGTCCTCCATCCTCTGTAATGGTACCAGATGTCCTCTGCAGACTCCAATGCACTGCCATATCCTCCATGTGCACCTGGATATGGTATCTACTGCTCCTTCTGAGTCATTGAGGAGGCCCAGCTCTGACACATGCATTCCATGATCAGACCATGGAACTTGCAATTCTCTCCTTGGTTGCAGTTCTAAGTTCAACGACTCTGTTGGCGGCATCCTCACAGAAACTTCATCTGAGGTGATTCCAGACCTGATTCTTGTGTGTGCTTGCCAATACAGGGTCTGACACAATCCATCGCACACACTGGTAGTTGCATTTATTGGTCAGTTCTGTCTCCGCCCTGTCTTCTATGCAAATCATTGGGTGTTGGAACCCAGCCCAATCCTGCCCATCACACACTTGACCCTCACACAAATCAGTGGGAGCTGCAGCCTAGTCAGAGTAACCTGTAATAACCCCCACTAGGCCTGCGCACTGCCCTGGTTCCCATGCTTGCCAGTATGTACAGCAGCCTAGTCCCATCTGTCCCATATACTATTCAGCTCTCATAAATGTCAATGGGCATTGAAACTAAGTTTGATCCAACCAGCCCCACTATCCAGTCCACAAACGTGCTGGCAGGTACCACTCTGTCTAGTCATGCCTGTCCAAATCCTGGTTCTCAGGGCTACCAGTTGGAGTGGCAACCCAAGAGGGAGGTGCCCACTGTTTCCCTACTGGGCCCATTCCCACTCTTGAATCCTGCACTCTCCAGGTGGTGCTGCAATTTAACTTGACAGCATCTGCCAGCTGGTGCTGTGGCAAAGCTCAACCAACCCACACCCACTCTGGCTCACGCACGTACCAGTAGGAACAGTCATCCCAGCCTGGCTTTCCCCAGATCCAACTCATTTGAGGTCAACGGGTGTTATAACCCTGCCTGACCTGGTCTGCCCCCAACCAGCTGTCATGCTCACCAGTGGGAGTGGTGGTCCAGCAGAGGAGCCCCATGCAGCTGTCCTACTGGGTTTGCCCCTTACCCCAGGGTTTCATGTATGCTTGTTTGGTGTTGAGGCTCAGTCTGGCATGTCCCGTGGGTGCTGTAGCCCAGCCAGGCCCAATTTCAGCTCATGCTGGAAGGGGCTCTAGCTTACTCCAGCCCAGCCGGCCCCCAGTCCCAGACCTCATGTGAACTGGCTTGTGTTGCAGCCTGATCCAGCCTGACCCACATTCCATTCTGGTGCTCAGATTTGCCAGTGGGTGATATAAACTGGCCTACCCTGGCTCACCCCAGACCAAGCCAGATGAATGCTGGAAGGTACCATTACCTGGGCTTATGTCACCCCAGACAGTCCCCAGTTTGTCTCTTTCAATTCCTAACTCACTATGTGAGCACCATCTCTGTGTGTACATCTGCTATGATGAAGCTGCCATGTCATGATTTTGTCGAGGAGGTGGGTGCTGTTCAGAATGGTGAGCTCAATAAACCTCTCTTCTTTATAAATTCCTGCCTTTAGGTTTTTCATTATAGTAACAGAAAACAGATCCATACAGTGATGCTGGTGAGAGCCATAGAAGGATGGGATAGAGATATTCGGAGTAGGTGTTTCAGTATTAGATTCCTGGATGCTATTCCACCTGTTTCTACATTCAGACACTTGGGGCTATAACTCAGGCTTCTCCCCCTTTCCATGTATGTAGATTTCTCATAAATCAAGTTCATAATTAGAGAAATCTGCTAAAGTCTCACCATTTCCTCAGTGTAGATATAAGCCATATAGTTTGAAATATGAGGGTCACTGACTGAAATGACCCAAGTTACTGAAGTACCTATTAAATTCACAGATCTTTATCTGGATTATTTCTACTTGACAGCTCAGAATACAGTCCTAATGAAAACTTTTATTTCTTCTGATTCTGTGCCTTGTAATTTAAGGTTAAGTAGCTTTTGAAGAGTAAGAAGTAATATAAAAACAAACATTTTTTTCCTCAGAAATAAAATTTTAATTTTGTTTACCATGCAGAAACAGTTTGTCCTGAGGAGTAAAAACAAAACAAAACAAGAAGATCCTATTTGAGAACCAAAAGAGGGCAGACAATGCCAACTCGGTGAGAGAGTTCGATGTAGGACCTTTGATCTTCATTTACTCATTTTTTTTCAAGTCAATGATGAAAACTAGACTTACTCTTAAGACTCTTGCAGAGGGCTAGTATTCTTTGTCATTATGTAGGAAAATAGGTAGTTAGTGTTGCTTTAGTTCTTGAACAGGTAGGTGGTGCAGCTGGCATCATATTTAGCAGGGATGGGAAGAGTTGAGAGATGTCTGAGCACATGGCAGTGTTTGTATTCAGTTCAGCAGCAGCAGGGGTCGCAGGGGGAGGTCCTGCAGACCATGCGGCAGGGGGCAGGCTGGCAGCAGGGGGGCCTGCAGCAAGGGGCCTGCACAGAGACCAGCTGGCAGCCAGTGGAGGTCCAGCAGCAGGGCCTGCACACCACGGCCGTGCAGGACGATGGGCAGCAGGTGATGGGACGGCAGCAGCCCTGCTGCAGGCCACAGGGGTCACAGCAGATGGGGCGGCGGCAGGGCTCACAGATGGGGCGTGTGCAGCGGGGCACACAGCTGACTGGGCGGCACACTGTGGTCTGGCAGGACACTGGGCGGCAGCAGCAGGGGTCGCGGCAGCAGCAGGGCTGCAGGCAGCCTCCTCCGCAGCTGTAGGAGGAGAAAGATCCACAGCAGGAGCCGGTCATGGTGGTATGTGGGGTTGACTGTGAGGTGGGCTGTGGAGAGGAGCTGTGTGTTGTAGGTTGTGACTGTCTTCCTCCTGTTCTGAACCCTTTATATACCCTGGCCAGGCCCTGATTACCTCCAGAGCACAAAATCATTTCCTGGAGCTGTGGTTACCCATTGAAGCAAAATCTCTGAGTTCAGTTCCTGAGGTGACAACTCCAACATTGCTGAACTAGGCTTCTCTTTCCATGAATATTTGATGCTTTGTATCATCAGGGAAAATTGCTCATCCATCAGCCAATCCTTCCTGACCAGGTCATGTGCCAAGTTGAAAGTGTGAAGGATCTGGTGTCACTTTCCTCTTGCTCACCACTGGCAGATGAGACATGAGCCTGCGATGTTTATGACTCACAGATCTGGTTCCCAACTGGTGTGGAGATGAATCAGTCATTTCTCAAAAAAAACACAGTGGGTCATAAAGAAAGATATGTATTGATTCTGCCATGGGAAAAGAGTGCAAAGTCCTGTTTGTGAAATGATTTTCCCAAGTCACACATGTGAAAAAGGAACAAAGTTATTACAGAACCACAGGTCTTCTCTTGGGTATAAATGTTTTAAAGTCGCCCAGGATAGAATACATATGGCAGTAGTTACTAGCACCTCTTTTAAAAATTATTTTTTTTAAAAAAATTATTTATTTTACTATTTTATGATATACTTCCATAGGCTCTGGGACTTCCCTTTTCTGCACTTGAAGTCGTCTCCCCTCATTGACTTCCTCTATATTATTACAACAGTATAGTTCTTCATAAACAGTTTTAAGTCCATCATTCTGCTACAATATCCTGATATTGTAGGTGTGGACAGTGGCAGAGAGTCCAGCATTCTATTGTCAAGATACATTCAGCGATTTCACTGCAAGTCTGTCTTTAATTTGGAAGTAGATATGCACACTTCATTGTATAGTCACATCTGAATATGATAGTCTCTATTACAGTTACTATACATCCCAATAATGAAACACAATAAAACAGAAGCAACAACAGGAAAAAGAATATTAAAAAATATGACAACATGAATTTAGTAATATGCTACTGAAAACAATGTGCTGTTGAAGAAGTGAATAAGAAAATCAAAAACTTTCTTCAAGCAAACGTTGCTACTATATGAGCGATGAGTCAGTGAAGAAATTGATAAGAAAAAACTCTTTTGAAGAAATGAAACAAAAATACCAAAATCCATGAAATGGAGAATCAAGATGGCTGAATAGGGTGAGGACACGTTTAAACAGAGAAACATTAGCCAGTGTCAAGCACAGAGGGCACATTCCAGCAAACTGGAGAGGTCAGAATGATAACAGAAAGGCACCTGGAGTCTGACAGACACAGGAAAGCAGTGGACACAATGGTGTGGTGTTGTAGTGACTGATATCCCAGTGACATTCAGCGAACAGCGATCTGAACTCCACCGACAGCCGAAATTTCACCAGCAACAAGGTATGAAGGGGCATTCACTGAAAGCTCAGGAGGTGAACCCTAAGAACTCTCTGTCTTGTAGGTCTGTTTGAAATGGCCAGGATCATAGACAGAGTGGCAGGGCCCAGACGAGCTGTGCAGGATCAGGGTAGAATTGATAGCTAGTCCACCTCCTAGAGCCAAATCAGGTGCCGTGTTGTATAGGGAAGCAAAGGCTATGGGACAACACTGAGCATGCACTGTGCTGGGAGTGAACTCATTTCTGGATCAGTGAAATGCAACAATGTGACGTCATACAGATTCCACCCAGAATAGGTCCAAGAAGCCCTCAGATCTGAGAGTAAGCAGATCAAGAACTCAAGTGGCACGTCAGGTGCCATTTTGTATATTGTGGAAAAACTTTAAGACTGCAGGGGCAACAGTGAGCTGTGCATTCGCTGAACTGGGAGTGAACTCACCGAGCTCAATGCATTGCATTGGTGCCACAGCTATAATAACATTGACTTTGGCATCATATGGGTCAAAATAGGTCTGTGTGGTCCTCAGACCTAACAGCCAACAGGTTCTGACAAAATCAGCACCACCAACAACTACCCATAGAGGATACCTGGTGTCTCACTAATCCTGGGAACTGCTTGAACCAGAAGTAGAAGAAAGGTTGTACAGACAACGGTGAAGCCTTAGCATGGTATCACAGGAGGTGGAGCCTTAGCATGGTATCACAGGAGGTGGAGCCTTAGCATGGTATCACAGGAGGTGGAGAGTGGTGAACCAGGAGCTGGGCTACAGAGACCATAGTATAAGTCTAACATAAGAACTCAGACTTGAAACTCTCTGGAGGCACAAGTGACTGCAAAAAGCCATGTACCAAGCATAAGAATTGTAGACCTGTGGGTGACAGCTTAGAAACCTGCCCCAAGAAAAAGAATCTGATAACCAGATTCAGTATAATGACCAAGAGCAGAAGAGGAGACAAAGGCACAATGAATATTACTGAAGACTCCACTGCAAAGGAGCAAAAGCCTTTGCCAAATTCAGAGTTAACTAAGAAAGACATCAAGAAAATGGGGGAAACTGAATTCAAAACACTTCTTGTAAAGCTTCTTATCAACAATGAGAAGCACACAAGACAGGAACTCGAGAAATTTAAGGAGCATGTCACACAGGAAATGAATCAAATGAAAGCTGATCTATCAGAAATGAAGAATACAGTGGAGCAAATTAAAAGTACAACGGAGCAAATTAAAGGTACAGTGGAAGGTTTTCAAAATAGAATGAAGGAGGCAGAAGAAAGAATCTCAGAATTGGAAAATATTTCTTGTCACCAGGAGGAAATAAACACAAAGCTGGAAGCAGAGCTGGTTGAGCTGAAATAAGAACTCAAGAATTGAAAGATACGATTAAAAGCCAAATATAAGAGTTATGGGAGTCCTAGAAGGTGCAGAAAGAGAAGCTGGGTTTACAGATGTATTCAATGAGATGATAAGGGAAATTTTTCCTAATCTAGAGAAAGAATTGGGAAACAGCATGCAGGAGGGGCACAGAGCTTGCAAAAGAGTTGGCCAAAAATGATCTTCACCAGACACATGATAATCAAGCTCTCTTCAGTTGAGTATAAGAAAAAGATTCTTACATGTGCACATGAAAAAAAATTAACTGACATATGGAGGGATGCCACTTAAATTCACAGGAGACCTCTCACAGGAAACTATAGGCTGGAAGAGAATGGAGTGACCTATTCCAGATTCTAAAAGCAAAAAGTTGTCAGTCCTTGATAACGTACTCAGCAAAACTTTTCTTTGTCTTTGAAAATGAAATAAAATTCTTCCACAGTAAAGAAAAGTTAAAAGAATATGCCTCTTCCAAAGCTACCCTATAAAGGACACTGAAAGATGTTCTCTTGACAGAGAAGAGGAATAGCACCAACCAAAACAAAAGGCAAATGTGAAGAACATCCCAGTAAAATAACAACAGATGACTAAATAAATGAACAACGCACTGTTAAAATGACAGGACCAAATTGCCATCCATTCATATTAACCCTGAATGTAAATGGTTTAAACTCATCAATAAAACATCATGGAATAGTAGACTGGATTAAAAAAAAACATTTATTTGTTGCCTATAAAAGACATCTCACCAACAAAGATCAGCAGAAACTGTATGTCATGGATTTTAATTTTGTTTTATTTAGTTTCATCTCTTCAAAACACTTTCTCATTAAATTCATCACTGACTCATAGATTGTACAGCAGCATCATTTTCTTCATGAACCTTCTTGATTTTCTTTTTCATTTCTTCAGTGACACATTAGTCATTCTGTAGCATGTTATTTAATTTCATGGCATTTTTTAATTACTATTTTTCTTCTTGTTGTTTATTTTGTATTGTGGCTTTTCATTTAAGGGAGCATATTGTAACTGTATGGTGGAGACTCTCACATCCAGATGTGAGGATACAATGCAGTATGCATCTCTACTTCTAGATTAAAGATGGACTCCCAACGAAACTGTTACTATATCTTGACAATAGGATACTGGACTCTTTGCCATTGTCCATGCCTGCAATGATGGAGATATGACTGTCTATGAAGAACTAAACCATAATAATAATATAGGGGAACTCAGTTGGGGGGAAGAGAAAACTTGGGGAAGGGGTAAGGGAAATCCCAGGATCTATGGAAGTGCATCATAAAATGATAATACTAATTTTTAAAATGTTAAAAAATGAAATGCGGCAAAACAGTTTAAAAAGCTATTGATTTTGTATTTTGCATGAAGTTTGCCTTATATCAGAAAGAGCATATGATATTTGTCCTTTTGTGATTGACTTATTTCACTGAGCATAATTGTCTCTAGTTGCAACTAATTGGTTGCAAATGATAGAACTCATTCTTTTCAATGGCTACATAGAATTCCATGGAGAAGATGTACCACCATTGCTTTAATCACTCCTCTTTTGATAGGCCCCATTAACATAAATGGAAAGATTGACAAGACAGAAACTTAGCAAAACAGAAATCCAAAGAACAGAGCTCATCTAGACACTAGAGCAAACTGACTTAATTGATATCTATAGAGCCTTTCATCTTATAGAGAATACATTTTTTTAAAAGATTTATTTTCTTTTTATTGGAAAGGTGGATATACAGAGAGGAGAGACAGAGAGGAAGACCTTATGTCTGATGATTCACTCCCCAAGTGAGCACAACGGCCAATGCTATGCCGATCCGAAGCCAGGAGCCTCTTCCGGGTCTCCCACACAGGTGCAGGGTCCCAAACCAGCACCCATATGGGATCCCGGGCATGCAAGGCGAGGACCTTAACCACTGTGCCACCGTGCCGGGCCCCAAGAATACACTTTTTCATCAGTACACGGAACTTTCTCCAGGATTGACAATGTTACGGGCCACAAAACAAGCCTCAGCAAATTTAAAAAATTTGAAATCATACCATGCATCTTCTCAGATCATCATGGAATGAAACTGGAGACCAATAAGTCAAAATACCTCCAAAAGACATGCAAATACCTGGAGATTGAAATAAACAATGGGTTATAGAGAAAATCAAAGGGGAAATAAAAAATTGC